CATCCAAATCGACGAAGGGGGGCCAGAGATATGGAAAAAAAAACATTTTCACCCAAATCACCTCAGAGGTGGGGTGGTTTTGGCTAAACCTCTCTAAAAAGGTCAAATGTCACTTGTTTTGCATCAATCTTGATACAAGGTACTTATTATATGTTGTACTTTGGATTCCTAAAGCTTTTAGTCTACTAACCCATCATCCAAGGGTAGTTTTCACTATCTGTAAAAAAAATTCTTTGGACGGACACTATAATTTACAGTTTTTTACTATGTAAAATCTGAATTTTCTTTAAAATAAAAAACATCTATATTGATTCTGACACTTCTACATCCAACTCACAGATGTAACCTTGCTTTGATAAAAGAAATTATTCATATAATCCTTTTAGAAGTTAACTTGTAGTCATTTGTTTTGGGCATGTCATTTTCGAGCCTGAAACATGAAAAACAGGCTTGGTGCTTAACAGGTTAACCTACAACAATGATGGGAAGTCAATTATTAAACAGCTTGTCTAATAGATGGATCCAGATCCTTCAACAACACTAGAATCAAATGAAGAGATATACAAATCTAATTGGCAGATTGCAATGGAATTGTTAGTGAAAGGACTTGAAAGAAGAGATTGAGACGTAATTACAATCAAATTACAGCAGGTTTATAAAAATGCAATACACTGTGTTTGACATTGGCATTGATAGGTGAACATTGAAAGAAACTATCTTTCATGTCTGTCATGATCAATCATATCAAAAAGATATATATAATGCATGGTTTAAGCCAGGGGTCTGCAACATGCGGCTCTTTAAGCCCTCTACTCTGGCTCCCTTGAGCTTAGACAAAAATAAGAAGGAAATTAAATACAAATATTTGTAGGACTATTTATATTTTGTAGCATGGTTGAAAATGTTTTGTATCTTGTATTTTGAGGTGATACTGTGACCCATAAATAAAAAAAAAACGTTTTTTAAACGGTCAATTCAAATATGAGTCATATCCTGCTACGGTCCGGCGCCAGCGCCTTTTCTTGCAGACGAATAACCTGACCCCCGGCTCGATGAGCGAACTATGGATAAATCAAAGAAAAGAAAAGTATCGGAGGAACACATGGGTTTAATTCTGCGTGGTTAGAGTTATATGCTTTCACAGCAAATGATGCTGGCTTACCGGTATGTGTCACTTGTTAGACGCTTTTATCCAAAGCGATTTACATACTCAATACTGTGGACAATCCCCACAGGAGCAATTTAGGGTGAAGTGTCTTGCCCAGGGACACAACGACATGCTGACTGCAGTGGGATTCGAACTTGCTATCCTCTGATTCGAAGATCAGCGCACTAATTCACTGAGCCACAGCCTCCCTGATATGTAGAGAGAAGTTGTCAAAGGTGCTGCAGCCTTTGACAACATTGACATTGACATTGGAGGAAAAACCCGGAAGAGGAAGACAGCTGACGATCTTCAGTCATAATTCAATCAGTTAACTCTTTTTAGGGTGCAGCTATATGTTTTATTTATTTCAAAGTGGGCCCATTTTAATTATATTCATTTTCTTCAATGTGCAGAGGACTCCCCAAGTGCTGTGTTTAATTTATTTTAAAGTAGGCCTGTGTTTTTTTTTTTTAAATTCTCCTTATAAGAGTTCTTTGTTTATTATTAGAGGTAAACCGTTTACTATAATGTAATACATAATAAATGCAAAAAATATATATATAACAATATAAACAACTTTATAAGCTATCAATTATGTTTTGCGGCTCCAGACAAAACAAATTGGTGGAAAAGGGGGCAAAATTGCTCTTTTGGTCCAAAAGGTTGCAGACCCCTGGTTTAAGCAAACACCGACCTGAAAAGGAAAAAATATACACTTGTTTGCAATTGTACTGTGCAATAGTCATTTTTATGTAAAAGCACATTTTTTTATAAATGTCCCAGCATTTAATTGTTATAAGGTCTCAATACTTTAATATATATATATATATATATATATATAAAATACAATCTTTGTTTGCCATTTATTGGTTGCCTTTTTTACCTGCTATGACACTTTTGCTGTAACACTGTACATTTCCCCGCAGTGGGACTAATAAAGGAATTCTGATTTTGATTCTGATAAGTACGCATACATAAAATGTGTGAGCCAGATTAGCAGTAAGGGTCATATGTGCTATGCTGGCAGTAATATATCTATAACAGCTTCATTAACATGAAGAAAGGCTGTTGCTGAGAAAGTTGCTCTCAGAACTCACTACTGCTTCACAACAGATACATTCGCTTGAAAAACAAGAAGCTAACCTTGATCAAATAGCAAAGAAAGAGTGACTCGATTTAAGTAATGCAGCGCCAAATCAAAATGACTGAACTGCTGCCAAAGGAGCAACGCTTAAGATTACATCCATCCAGAGAAATACCCATCTTTAAAAAATATAAATTAGAGTACCTTCCATGTATTGGGATGTTGGCCAAACTAAAGACTTGGTGAGAAGGTTTCAATAAATGAATTCTAAAAAGGACTAGAAAGCCAAGAGATTGCTCGAAGAGAACTATGGACATGAACTCTTTTGCAGCAGCTTGTTTGGAGAAAGGTCCAATTGGAATGCCATTAACAGTGAAGATAGAAAAGCACTGCTCACTTAAACTATTTGTCTTTAAGGATGTTGTAACTCAATGGAAGATATTGATACCTTCCTTTAAACTCAGGGAAAAGTGGAGAACTGCAAATTCATAGATTCAAACAAAATGAAAAATTCGATGTTTCCAGTTGTGGTTGTTTTCATCTAAAGACATGATACTGATGACTATAAAGAAAGTAGTTTTGCGACAGTAAGTGCAGGTGCATACATAGAACTGCAAAAGAGCAAAACATCTCAGATTTACCAAGAGACAGATTTACGCCAGAGCTGCCACCATACATGTATGTCAGAGTTATGGACAGCTTGATGATGAAAGCCCTTCAACAGTTATGTGCGTGTAAACAAATTATCAACAGCCGACACACATAACTACAGTGCCAAATGTTCCAAATGACTTTGAACCTCTATCACCCGACCACTTGCTCAAGGTCAAACCAATGCTGCCCCCAGGTTAAATCCATCGGCAATATACACAGCCAAAACACCATTGGCAGCAAGTGCAATGCATAACGGAGTTCTAGACCAGATGAATCTACGACTTTTGCAAGAAAGACCGGAATGGAATTGCATTCAAAGAAACTATATACCTGGACATATGTGTATTGATCATAAACTCAAATGCACCTCATGGATCCTGGTTAATGGCAAAAGCTCTGGAGACACCACCTAGATCAAGAGGTCGGATTATTTTTATGACAGACTTTGTTTCTTGCAAAAGGTCCCAATTTATCTAAAACTTTTGCAAGAAATTGTCTGATTATTTCTACGACAGAAACAAACCTGCTGGAAAGACCAGTGAGCAAAGTTATCTCTCTGGTGCCAGTCTCAAAATAAGGCAAAATAACTGATCAACCCTCTGTCACAACTAGAATATAGATTTCAAAGGCTGAACCTTTTATATCTGGCTCCTTTTTGTTACAATAGCCACGTTCACACCGCAGTACTTTTCCCACTTTAGTTCCGATATAGTTCCGAAATGTCGCGTTCACACCAAAAAGAGCAGAAACTAAAATGAGTTCATGAGAACCTTTTTTACCCCCTTTTCCGTCCCTGCTAGAGAGCAGGTACTTTCGTGGGAGAAAAAGGTTCCTATGTCTCATTGGCTGGGCGGGTTGCAAACCACGCCCCGTAAAACTCCCAAAAGGTTTTGTGAAGCCGCCATTTTATTATCCTCGCATTAGCATTATTAGCATTAGCATTAGCCCAGCGCACAAACGCAGAAAGACAAACTTATGGCAACACAAAAGAAAACATGGGAGCGGTGGAGATGAGGAGGTGTCGGCGTTCTGGCGATTTACTCGGAAGGCTTCAGTAGAAGCTGCTGGGAGTCCCAGCAGCTTCTACTGAAGCCAGTCCCCAACTCCGGTGACTTCCGGCCGGGGACTTCGGGTGGCAGTATACGCCGTGAAGTTGTTTGCGGCCTGCCAGTAAACCCAAGGCAGAAGAAGAAGAAGTGAAGTCAGCGGCTTCATTTGCCTAATCCTCCCCCAGGGACTTATTCCGGTGTGAACGCGATCTGTACTTAGTTCATGAGAACTAAAGAGTTCTCATGAACCTTTGTGGGAAAAGTACTGCGGTGTGAATGCGCCTAATAAGTGCCGCTATGTAGGCCAGAATTTTGTTTGGTTCAAAATTTCAAAATAATATTGTCTATTTATAGAAAATAAAAGACTACAATTACCCAACACCAGCTTATTGAGAAACACAGATATGGGCTTATGTGGCAGAGTTCTCAACCGCTCAATTATTTAACGTTATCATTTAACAGAAAGACAAATAAATCTTAGTTTGCGCATCATTTTTTTTTAGTTTTGCCTCTTTAGTTTTTATCGTAAACAATGCAATAATGATTATATTTGACTTACCTTTGTGTGTTGTGATGTCTGTGTTTGCTTCCCCTGTCAAGAGTTCGGATCGCTCAGTGATGATACTATACCTATATAATCTGTGGAGTCTCAGCTTTAATCGGATATATTGTATGTGCAGTTACGATAAGTAATAAGGGTATCTTTATCTTGAGTTCTGTGCCGCAGTGCGTTAGAATTGTTTCGCTCAGGGGTAATTTAGAAGCTTCTTATGAGACTTGTGTTTTGTTTTGGTAAAAATGGTTCGTATCTTCAGTTAGCTGAGATTCTTCCCATTAATCTGGTGCTACACATTAATAGTTTCATAAATGTTAAGAAGCCCTGAGAGACACAGTCTCGAAAAAAAAAACGTTGTCAGTCTCACACTCTGAAGGGTCTTTGTCAGATTATTTAACGTTATCATTTAACAGAAAGACAAATAAATCTTAGTTTGCGCATCATTTTATTTGAGTTTTGCCTCTTAAGTTTTTATCGTAAACAATGCAATAATGATTATATTTGACTTACCTTTGGGGGCAGATGGTACAGTTGGCTTGCTAGATGTTCCATCAGCTTTCTCTTGGACAGTTTCAACCTCACTGCAACGCTTATCATTGTTACTCTCCACTTCACCAGCAGCTGGGTCAGAATGCAGAGACTCTGACTCCCTGCTGACCTGATCGACTTTGTTCTGCACAGGAGTGCTGGGCTCTGTGGGAAAGAAACTAAAGGCTTCACTAAAACTTAAAAAATACATGTTCCATCAATTTTTGTCAGCATTTTAAAGTGTGAGGAAGTTCACTTTGCATAGAGAGGGACACTGACAGGCTGTAAAAGAGGGACGGACTGTCCCGTCTCGAGCAGTCCAAGTTTGGATTTGTTGTTGGACATGTGAAAGAAATTATATTCTTTTTAAAACAATAACTGAAAGTTCATTGTTGTATTCTTCACAAAGCTTCTAACAGACATATCAGGCAAACAGACTCACATTTACACTCAGATTAACAGAATATTTCATTTCTGCTTTGACTATATTTTGTGAAGCTACAATCTGAATGAAGCAGTTTTATTAAGACAATGTTTCTTTTAGTGTCTTGATGATGTTGAACTGAAGCTTGTTCTGTGGTTGTGAGAAGCAGAACACAAAGTATTGACTTGTTGAGATGTTGATCAGTTGCTGGTTGCACTCAACTGAGATCGTCCTCCTCCCTGTCAATTAAGAACGTCACACTGTTAGAGCAGCATCCGCATCGCTCTCCTCTGTCATCATCCTTCTGGATCTTTCTGCTGTGTTTTTCATGGTAACCCGCAACTATTGGAGTCTCAGACTGTGTATTATAAAAAAAACGTTGGGGGGCCCCCCTATATTTTAACATTCTCACAGAGAACTTTGACCTCTGGGTCAGCAAGCACCCTACAAAGACTTAAGGAGGTCACTAATGGACAACTGGCCAATCTATGGTCCAGGCTAGTTTGTGCAATCTAAAGCAGTGGTTCTCAAATGGCGGTACGCGGACCCCTAGGGGTACGTTGGAGTACTGTGAGATGTATTTTATGTTAATGAAAAAAAGAAAAAAAAGTAATGCATTTATACAAACTACTAATAGTAGATTAACTACTTTATTCAAAAGTTTACAGTAATACTGGATAATAAAATGGGAAAAATAAACGGGGTGCTCTCTTTTCCTCTCTCCTGACAGCCCGTCAGTATCCGTCTCATGCATAGACGGATGCTTCAGCTCGCTGAACCTGTAATAAGTGACCCAACAGTAAAGAATACATATATTTATAACTAGTTTAGCTAGTTCCAGAGTAGATAAACTAGCTAAGTGTGTTAGGTCTAACTCTTAGTGTGTATTACTCCGCTCAACGGTCCATCACAGCGGCGGAGCTGTGATCCGGTAGAGCTGCGTGTTCTCCGTCATCAGCAGCTGATCTCTGATCTCTCTCTCGCGTCCGGTTATACTTCACTCGCGTTTATGTCCAAATCCATCAGATCTAGCTAGTTCTAGTTAATGATATGACTGCCTGCTTATCAAAGGACACCTAAACAATAAGCGTTGCTTGGCAACGGGGTGTGGCCGCAAAGTATAGTGCAGCATTATGCATATGTTTATATGAGGGGTCAAAATCCCATGCTCATAAAATGCTCATATATTTTTTTCTCTTCATTCCCCACGCCCCAACATAAATACATTTACCAATTTTAGGAAAAGTAACAAAGTTTGAGCAGTGTGGGTTTTATATTAATAGAGTTACACATATTTCAAAACGCGAAGTGTAATAACTGCAGTTTGCCTCCCTGTCAGAATGACAAAGATCCTCAGTGAAGCACAAGCCCATGTTTCTCACTAAATTGTAAGTACAACTTATTAAAAAGATCAGTTCAATGCAACTAATGTCGTCTTAGTGTTATTGCATGATGTTAAAATTGGTTTGCCATGAATTTAGTAATGAATTGTAAATATTTGAAATGTAGCATAAGTGTTTCTCAGTTACAAGGTTGTTGTTTTAATAAATCAGACACTGATTGTGCAGCGCTGTACTGTACCTCTTTATATTGGCATTTTTTCCCTAACAAATAGTTTTTGCGCTGATCAGGGGGTACTTGGCTGAATTTCTTTTTCAAAGGGGGTACATTATTGAAAAGTTTGAGAACCACTGATCTAAAGGGCCCGTGTCCCATGGTCAGGAGGATCTCTAGCTTCACCAAGGACTCATACAGGGGACAAAGGAATAACTTGAAATGCCAGATAGCTTTAACTACACAAAACTGGGCAATCAGCTTTCTGTCTTCTGCAAGGAGATCTTTCTTGTATTCAAGGAACAATTCTGCATTGATGTCATCTGCAATTGTCTTGGCAGTCTTACACTCTGAAGGGTCATTGTCAGAGACAGTTTTTGTTTCTTGCAAAAGGTTCTAATGTACCTACCACTTTTGCAAGAAATAGTCTGATTATTTGTATGACAGAAACAAACATGCTGGAAAGACCAGTTAGCAAAGTTATCTCTCTGGTGCCAGTCTCAGAGTAAGGCCAAAATAACTGAACAACCCTCTGTCACAACTAGAATGTAGATTTCAATTCTATGTTTATTGTTATTAAAGATGCCCATTACGATAGGGGCCACTATGTAGGCCAGTTTTTTGTTTTTGGTCGAAAAGAAAGAAAAACTTAGTTTGATCATCACTTTATTTGAGTTTTGCCTCTTTTGTTTTTATTTGTTTTGACTCTTTATAAGGACTTCATCAACCATGCAATAATGATTATATTTGACTTACCTTTGGGGGCAGATGGTACCGTTAGCTTGCTTAATGGTCCATTGGCTTTCTCTTGCACAGTTTCAACCTCAATGCACCACGTTGCATTGTTACGCTCCACTTCAACAGCAGGTGGGTCCGAATGCAGAGACTCTGACTCCCTGCTGACCTGATGGACTTTGTTCTGCACAGGAGTGCTGGGCTCTGTGGGGGAAAACAGAAAGGTTTCACTAAAACTTAAAAAATTCATGTTCCATCAATGTTTGTCAGCATTTTAAAGTGCTGTTTGACTCCCAAGTAAAGGCCACAAAAAAGCCATATATATGTATCCAAAAGATCCAGAAACAGGTGGCATTGATTACATTTTCAGATTTACCTGTGCAGACAGATAGCGAGGTTGCTTCTCTTTGATTTCCATTGTCTGAAATCCTTGTGAATCTGATGGTACACTCAGTCCTGTGAATCAGTGCCTTAACCGTGACAGTTTTGGCGTTATCAACAGTCAAACTGCCGCTGTTTGTTTCACAGGAGTAATCTAACTGTAGTCTAAACCCAGGTACTTCCCCTGGTGGAGGAACATCTGTCATTAGAGAAGAAAAGTACATCTCAGTATCTTTACATATCGCTGCGCATATATTTATAACATTAAATCAGTTATTGACGGTCACACTTACGGTCGGACTGTGGTGATGCTGGAGTGTTCTTTCCTTCCTCACAGCCCGGGTCAGGAGAGGGATCTGTTTCTTCATTATGTTCCTTGGTAATTGAGAACATTACAGTATGTTTACATTCTATTTTGAACGAGTCATACTATATTAACAATAGCTTATGTGACATGTATTTGTACTTTTATTGTCATTTAATGGTTTACCTCCTTATCAGTGTACTCCATTTTTGATACACCCTCAGCAATCCCACACTGTCCAGATTATCCAAACAGCATCCCACTAAAGGTAATAGGAAATAACCAGAGATGTAAGAAGTACTCAGATCTTTTACTTAAGTAAAAGCACCATTACTACAGTGTAAAAATCCTCTGTAACAAGTAAAAGTCCTTTATTCAAAATGTTACCCTAGTACATTTACAAAAGTAATGACATCAAAAGATACTTCAAGTACAAAACGTGAAAGTAATCATTGTGCAGTAAGGCCCATTTTCAATTAATGTCAATGTTGCACTTGGTAGAGGTTGGGTTCATTTTGTATATCTTGATATATACTGCTGGGTGCCTATCATATAATAAGACATGATGGTTTATTAGTTTGAGGCAGCAGTGGCTCAGTCTGTAGGGACTTGGTCTTGGAACCGAAGGGTCACCGGTTCACGTCCCGATCAGACCAAAAAGAAAAGAAGATGGAGTGAGATGGTAGCTGGAGAGGTGCTAGTTCACCTCCAAGGCCACTGCCGAGGTGCCCTTGAGCAAGGCACCTAACCTCGAAACTGCTCCCTTGGTGCTGGGTACCTGGCAGCCTCTCTGCTTAGGGATTATTAAAGTGTATCTTCTTCTTCTTTATGTTTTATTCTGCATTATTATTCAACATCTGCAGAGCAGCTAGTAACTAAAACTGTGAAATACATATTGTTGAGTAACAAGTTAAAAATTGCCTCCAAAATGAAGTGAAGTAAAGTATATAGTAGCACAAAGTGAAATACTCAAGTGAAGTACAGGTACCTCAAATACATACTTGAGTACAGTACTTGAAAACCATTCAACACAACACCTGAACACCAAAGATCAAACAGCCATGTGAACTCTGCAGCCTGAGAGATTAAAATGTAGACCACATTTAAAGACCAATCTAATCAGCCCACTACAGGAGCCACAAAGACAGATTTAATATGAGGAGTTATGCTTCAGTTTGAGACCATGTGAGGCCATCATTTAAAAAGTATTTCAGGTCTTAAAAGATTGGAACCAATGAAAAACAAAGAAATGCTTTCCTACCTTTTATAGATGAACCATGGTAACACTTCAATCTGTTCTTTTATCCAGAACTTTTAACTACAGTGTATAGTAGTATAAAGCTCTGCAAGTACACAGCCCTGCCCTTCTCTGCCAATGCAAGTGTCTTTTAGAGGTGTCTCCTTTTATACTGCCTTGGGAAGTTCCTTTGCATTTTATTTCCTTGAAAAAGAAACGTATTGCTTGGTATCCTCCCTTTCTGAATAGTTATTTTCAGTCAACCCGCTCTTCGTCATGATTGTGAAAACAGCTTCTCTCTGAAAACAATAAGAGAGCTTTAATCTCAAAATGCAAAGGTTTATTGTCATAACATCATAACAAACTACGATGTAATTATGTAATGTATGAAAAACTTAGATCGCAGGTTCCTCAACAGTGGAATTTTTAAAATATACTAAAATGTGTATAAAAAACAACAATCAAAATAAATATCGTGCAAGCTCAGGTGTATAGTCTTTTGGCCTGTGGGATGAAACTGTCCCTTAGTCTGGTGGTTTTAGTCCTGATGATGCTGCGGTACCGCCTGCCAGACGGCAGCAGACAGAACAGTTTGTGGCTGGGGTGATGGGGGTCTTTGATAATCCTGTGGCCTTTTTTGACTCTTATAGACTGTACTGCTATTAATATCCCACAAAGATAAAATACCATGTGTCTTAGTACTAGTCTGCTTTCGTTTTTGTTGTGTGCAGACTTTATTGTTGGGTATATCTTACAAAGCCAACCAAACGCCTTTCACCCATTATCAGGTATCTGTTATAAGGAATTGACAGCAGTATTAAAATGGGTTTCTGAGAATGATTATGTTAACAAATACATATTAACATCAGATGTTCAACAGAGCAAGGAAATTGTTGTCTCCTTCATTACAAAACAATTGGCTTGCACAACACCATCTTACCTAGTTTTTTTAAGTGTGCAAATGAAAAAATTGAATTGCAATGTCATTTTCTGTAAAGGTCTTGAAAGAAGTGGAAAGAAACTCTATTTTGCTTCTGAAAAAAGCAAGTAAATTAACATGATCCTAATTCTGTGACATGGCATTATTAACAGGTGAACATTTAAGGAAACTGAAAAAGGGTGTTGTCATGATCATAACTTGCTTACTCACGGTCCCGCTCCCCACGTGAAAAACAGGGTAATGTAATGAAAATGGCTCCAGGCCCCACAAGATACGCTGTCAGCCATGTCTAAGACCTGAAGTCAGCATTGAGCTCTTCATAACACCATCAATAGAGGGTTGATAGACAATAAACTTGACATTATGAATTTAAAGGTGAGGACCTCACCTTTAAATACATAATGTCAAGTTTATTGTGAGGTGCATGCATGCGGACAGTTAGGAGTTGGGTGGGAACCACTTACAAGCCCACATTGGGTTGTTCATTTTCGCAGGAGTGCAGAAATCCAGTGTTGTAGTCAAGTCACCAATTCACGAGTCCAAGTCACTCTCGAGTCACCACTCTTCGAGTCCGAGTCCAAGTCCGAGTCACCAAGGGAGAGTCGTAGTCGAGTCCGAGTCCAAGTCCGAGTCACCCAAGGAGTGTCCGAGTCGAGTCCGAGTCCGAGTCATCATTACCTGTGTTCGAGTCCGAGTCCAAGTCCGAGTCACCTAAGAAGAGTCCGAGTCACCTAAGAAGAGTCCAAGTCAAGTCCGAGTCACAAGTCTTCATGTATTAATCTTCGTGGATATATGTGTTGAAATCTAGCTGCTCCTCTACATTGCTTTTATCCTGTCATGTTATACTAATCTGTTTAATGAACTGCTGTGAAACGAGTTTGGCTACAATTCTTGTAATAGGTGCTATACAAATATAAAGCTTATTACTAATATTAATATTATTATTATTATATATAAATAAACTATGTTTAAAATGAGTTACCTTTTAGAGAAGTGATTATATTTGTATGCCAATATTTTACTATGGTAAAGTTTTCGTTTTGCACTTTTATTTTGATAGTAATAAGATCGGGACTCTTATTTTGAAGGAACTTTTACCGGTTAAATCGGTTTACTGATGAAGATTTAGCCCCAGAAAGCACATGGCTACTTAGCATGCAAAATGACGTCATTCTGTATGTTAAGTAGCCATGTGCTTTCGTGTTATCGGCTGAATCTTTATTTATTGATTAGATCACGTTACTCTGATGATAGTGTTCAAGACAGCCTTTATGTCTGAACTCGATGTTTAGAGTAATGTGTTACGGAGCCTTCTCTTCAATATTGTTTCCACATAGAGCATTTTGCGCTGCTCTTTTCCAATGTGGAAGCAGAATGTGTGAAAGCATACAGCACGATGCGGGGTGTGTCTCTAGACATCTTTAGACTGGAATAGCGGGGCCCAGTACGTGAACTCGCCTTGCAGCCGGTGCACACGCCAGGATAGAGGACATCAGACTCCATAGAAAACTTGCTCGAGTCCGAGTCCAAGTCGGAGCGTCAATGTACAAGTCGAGTCCGAGTCATCGTGGGGGGAAAAATTCACGAGTCCGAGTCAGAGTCCAAGTCAGCGTACGTGAAAATGCACGAGTCCGAGTCCGAGTCCAAGTCAGCATACCGAGAATTCACGAGTCCAAGTCCGAGTCGCGTCAATCAGTGCACGAGTCCGAGTCGAGTCACGAGTCCCGAAAATCGGCACTCGAGTCCGAGTCCAGGACTCGAGTACTCCATCTCTGCAGAAATCAAAAAAGGGAGGCAACGGCATGCCTTTGGAATGCTGACACTGGAAGGGAAATATTTCCATATTGACCCCAAAACATAATACATGTTACTATCCTTGATAATATACTGTACATTTCTGAAATGCCCAAATTGTACATGGAAATAATATAGATCCTTTAACAACAGCAAAAAGATCATCCTTTAAAATGTTGCGTCAATCAGTGAGATTTTATGGTGATTTATATATTTTACAATGGTCACATAATAGGAATGATGGATGTATAATGCTGTGGGTGGAAGGGGAGGTGGGGGTAGTGTTTTATTTAAATGGAAATTTAGTCAACTAAGAAACATAAAGTACTTGAAACGTACATTTTGGTAACAATTTTGAATATGATCATTTTCTTGAGCTTTAAACTCCTGGGGTCAAAATGACCACCAAGGATAAAGGGTGTAAAGCAAATGTGAAGATAAAGGAGGGTTAAGAATACATTATATAGCAGTTTTTTGTTTTACAATATCCTAAAGTCTATTTTTAACACACTATTGAGTTGGCTTTTTCATTACATTTAAAATATAAATTGTACCTAAAATAATACTGAGTGAGCAGGGTATACATATTCACACCATATGCAATCATAGGATATTTTTTGTTCGAAAGATATTTGTCCAAATTGACTACAAAATAGTACAAATGCAAAACATAAAAACAAATGTTTTTTGGTGAGTGAAGTCCAAAGCCGTATTATAGATTATTTGATTGTGTAATTACAAGGTGAGAGAAAATAGATCCACAACGTCCTATTCAACTTGTATTTTTCAATTTTTTTGTAAAAATGGTGGCGCTGGCTGTTAAAGGTTAAGACAGCATCAACATAAGAGGCCAACAAGAGTGACAGGGTGTGTCACTTTGCTGAAGGATAGACCAGCTATGCAGGATATTCTCTGAAGATTTCCCAAGGGGTAAAAGCTGCTGCTGGAGTACTGACTGGAAGTAGTGCTGATATCATGTCTACCATATCCTCTTAAAATACTCTGTCCAACAATATAAGTCTAATGACACATTTTTATTTAAGATGCATTCTTGTATAAGGAGGGGAATTTGAAAGAGAATACCTGAAAAAGTATTTGTTGGTGTAGTTAAATTAGTATACTGAGTCAAACAGTATCACTCTCATTAACAATTTATGGCAGAAAATAATTGTATCTCTCATCAAAGATAGCAGAAAACATGCATTATTGTACTCAAGAGGGGAGTTTGACAGAGGATCACTCAAAAAGTACACACTAAAAGTACTCTAAATAGTATTTATCAATCCTCAACCTAATGAACAATGACTATTGTTTATTTCAAGAACTTTTATTGACAGAAACTCAACATTTCTAATCTGTGTGACACAAATATGCGGCTCCCCCTATTTATCTCAAAGTCGGCCTTCAGGGGAGCTCCCCCCGTCTTTAGGGGAGCCAAGCTCCCCCTGGCTCCCCCCCATTTCGAACACTGTTGGTCCCGCTCCCCACGTGAAAAACAGGGTAATGTAATGAAAATGGCTCCAGGCCCCACAACATACGCTGTCAGCCATGTCTAAGACCTGAAGTCAGCATTGAGCTCTTCATAACACCATCAATAGAGGGTTGATAGACAATAAACTTGACATTATGAATTTAAAGGTGAGGACCTCACCTTTAAGAACTGGGGCACTTTTTTCCCCCAGGAAAGTACCATCTCTCAGCAGGCACTAAAAATGGGGGTAAAAGTTCCCGAGATGAAGTGCTCTTTTTGGTGTGAACGCGACATAAGGGGTACTAACGGAATTAAACGCGAAAAGTACGGTGAAAAGTACTCCGGTGTGAACGCGGCTATAGATTCTAGAGGTGTAATCAAACCCTGAAAGCTCAGGCTGCACTGTGAAGTTGGCGTCAAAATTAAAATGAACTGACCAAGAAAAATGGGCTTTATGGGTCTCCATCTGTACAGACATGACAATCCCATACAAGCTTAGCCAAATATCATCTAGTTTTAAGCATGCCTCATTAAAAAAAATGGTGTATTAGAATATTTCTGCATGCTCTTTGACTAGTTTTGGATCCAATATGCACACTTCTATTCATGTGTGTTATGGCTATTCCCCTTAGTATACCCATTTTTGAAACTATAACTCACTGTAAAAAGACAGAGGGTTTTCAAAGGATCTATGTCTTTTTTTTGTAGGTGTTTTGACAACACGGGAGAGGTGGAATACTATCTGTTATGTTAGTTCAGTGACTCTGCCTGGAGCTGTCCATGGGGCTGAAGCACTACTCTCTTCAAACTCTGTATGGTCCATATACATTGGAAAGCCAAAGGTTTCTCTGGCTAACAAGAGGGGGGTAAAAAGGGCTTCTCTACAATATGTTTG